TTTCATTCTCTCTCTCTCTCTCTCTCTCTCTCTCTCTTTCTTTCTTTCTTTCTTTCTCACTGTGAATGAGTTGAGTCTCTCCCCCATTGGCCCCCATTCCCCGTCTTTTGTTTAAAGCAAACTTTCAAACCTTTTGTATTGACCGCAAACACAGTCTATGAGTGAGAGGGAGAGGGAGAGAGAGAGTCATTGAAAGTGTGTGTGAGAGAGAAAGAGAAGTACTGTAGTACTGTATAAGCTGTGTGGGGGAAAGGGCGGGGGATGGGACATACAAAAAACCCATATTATTTTAATATTTATAATAGATTTAATTTAATATTAATATGCAATAAAGTTTATTAAACTTGTTTTTAGTAAAAATTGTTAAATAGACATTAAGTGGCATTTTAGCAAATAGTAAAACAAATCACGAATAAATTGCAAATTAAATTAAATCATAATATTTATTAAATACATTTTTCAGTCCTAATAATACATAATTATAAAATATTTACTTTAAATTTAAAACAACAATACAATTTATAAATAAATATAATAACTTAATTAGAGTTATTATCTTAATAAATAAACATGCTAAACATGACAATTATTGGCTTAGTACTTGTCATCTAACTTTTCGGAGCAATGCCATTTGACACATTTATAGCCCTGTTCACAATCGGTGTCCATTTTACATTGTATGCGTTGGCAGATTGTATTTATATCACAGTACTTGCTATGACCACAACCATCGGGGTGGGCGGCCGGGCTATCCTGGCATTGCTTTACGCATGTATTATATTTGCAGTAAAAGTGATACATGCAATCGTTATGGTCAGTACAATTGTTCGGGTTATTTATAACAGCCTTGTTACCCGCATTCACGCGCTCAACCATTAATACGTTCAGCATTATTATGACGGCCAACAACACCACGATCAACTTGGTCATTTTGATCATGGATGATTATAGTTGAGGTTTAATTTTTGTTTGATTTGAATAGTCTTCACATGTGGTATGTTATGATTTACTGCATGTATGAATTTTATATTTAATTAATTAATTTAATTACTAATTTTTGCTCATTACTTAAGTAATTGATTTTTAAGCGATAAAAATTAATATTACACTTTGGTCTAATGTGCAGAGAGTCAGCTTTTCACACAGTTCTCCCATGTTCAATACTGGTATGCGTCAATTTACTTTTATTGGTAATATATTTACATTTGTAATATCATTATTTGTGAATGATTTTGACAACTGTTTTATACCTTAATAATAAATATTGAATGAATATTTTTATAAATAAATAAACTAGAATTTTTAGAACTTTATTTACATTTTACAGATTTTACCTAGTTTACCAATTGATAATAATTAAAATACTTTGTTTTAATTGGCATTGAAAAATTCAAATGTATCTAGATTGGATACCCGCTGTCTCGCTATTAACACCGGTTAGCACCGGTGCCCTCAAAAAACTGCCTCCTAAAAAGTAGGTTGGTTTGAGGAATGCAATTAATTTCATAAAACTATTTTCTTGTTAAACATTTAGTATTAATTGGTATTAAGTAAGGAATAATAGTAAAGTGACATTATGTGTATAATCGATAGGCAAATAATTTACAATATTAGATACAAATTAAAATAACTAATAAATTTGTATTTTATTTTATTTAAAGCATAAATTATTTTGTAATTTTACACAAAAGTTAATTAATAAGATTTAACCCTGTACTTTATTGCCGCAGTTTTTCATAGTATTAACAGTACAGTGACCGCCGGCCGGTATGCCATTGCACTTGTTATTTATGATGGTATTATGACAGCCACCTATGCCTGCTTTGGCAATACGGTAAATCTGTTTGCAATAAATAACATACATTATTGAAATATGATAAGATAACATCATGCTTAATAATTTTATTAAATGTGCCTACGTCAAATCCATTTAATTTAGGGCTGGTGCCAGTGTTGTCCTGGATATCGTAGTAATCTCCCTTCACAGTAACCCAGCTCTCGGAATAATTCTCGCCAGTCTCACCATGGCCATCTAGATAATTGCCCTTGATCACACCACAACACGAGCCCTCCTTAATATCAATACACTCTGCGGCCACATCGGGTCCGATATGGTTATTGAGCACTTGATTGCGGTCACTTTTGTCTGGTTGTCCACCTTGCCAATTATTAACCTATTAGACAATTTAAAGACAAATTAAATTATTAAAATCAATATTGCAGATTTTTCAATTAAATTTATTTAAATAGTAATTAATAATTACTAATTATTTATGCAACCAAGCATGCAGAAAAATAATACAATCTATACACTACATCAAGCTCATCTTAAACAAAATGTTTGCTAATATCAAGTAGTAATATACTGTGCAAAGCAAAGTGACATGTCTTCTTATAAAGGTAGAAAACAACACAAACAAGAGATATAATCATTTACTTACAGCCTGACCAATGTAAACACCTTCACCAAAACCTTGATCCTTTTTGGTTCCACGACCTGTCAGGTGGATCTTTGAATTCTTCAACACATTATCGCTGGAACCATACCTGAAATGCACGCCCTCTTGTTTAATATTTTTCACCTCGACGTTATCAATGACATTATGTGAGGCGCCCTCCAACACAATACCCTTCTGCGAATCAGACACTGTAAACCCGGTCAGCACCCAATGGCTACCCTTCAGGTGAAACCCGTAGTTACCACCGCCGGTCAGTACAGCCCCTTTGCCACCCGTCAGTGTAATGGCTGCGCTCCCGGAGCCGCTACGGCTGGTCTGAAAGTGGCCGCTATAGTGGCCGTCGTGCAGATGTATTGTGTCGCCCGCGTTGGCCGAGTTCAGGGCCGATGTGAGTTGGCCCGCATTGGTTACCTCGTGGGTTAGCGACTGGACCGACAGTCCCAGGCTTAGCACTGCGAACGCGATTGCCGTCAAATGCATTGTGTATGTTTTGGTTGAACTGGATGAGTTAAGTTAATTGGGTTGTTTTGTATGAAATTTTTGATTTATATAGTGCCATAATATCAAGGTGCAGTTTATACGGGTACTAATTGAGCAATTATTGAACAAATATTGGTATATTATTGTAGATAGTTTATCATGATTAAACACTAGTTTATTTTTGTAGTGTTTAAACTATCCCAAACTTAATGTTTACATACTTTTTATTAATGAATTAATAAACTAGTTGTCAATAATGTGGAATGTTATAGCATGATAGAATTGAATGCAATTAATGCATTACCGTTATAATTTGTAAAACATTAATTATCATAAACTTATAATTTGTATAAATTAACTAGAATATATATATATAATTTATCCCAACAGTTTATACTAGATCCGGGATTGATTATATACATTTTCAATTATACATGTCTAATAATTAGTTTGTTTACTCCAAAGTGCAAGCGTATTGATTATCAACTTTAAATTGAGATTGTCCGGGTTGTATATAAAGACTTTACTTTACTTATACACACTTTACGTAATTTTTCATATCTCATAACTGAGAAGAGAAGGCAAGAGAAAGAAAGAGAGAAAGAGAGAGAGAGAGAGAGAGAGAGAGAGAGAGAGAGCTGGGGTTTGTAAACTGAACAGGATGTGTTAAAATAATCTTGTATTTATACCTAATATTTAATCAATTCTACGATAATTAATACAACCATCATGATAAACATAGTGAATAGCATATTAATTTACTAATTATTTAAATAGATACCAATTTAATATTATAGATTATAAGATTTGTTACAACTTTTGGTTTACTTAAAGTATTGATTAGTTTGAATTATTAAGATTATTAATTATTATTAATTATTACTTATTATTAATTATTAAACTTATAATTATTTAATACCTTTTTGATGATTAAGTTGTTTTTTGAAAATATCTATTGAGAGCATTTATATCAGCAATTATTATCTATGTTGATTTTAATTGCGATTTTAATAACTATGCTAATTATTTTCTTTCACTATTGGTCGATGATTGTAAAAACAGTGTTTTAGGTAAATAATAATTTTCAAATCAATATATAAAGTTATAATAAAAATAATTATTTCATTTAACTTCTATTAAAATTTTTAATCAATTTATTAAAAATTTTTATTTTACAAATTATAAATTTATTTAAAATATTTTACCTTTACAAATATTTTTGTAAATAAATAAACTAGAATTTCTAGAACTTTGTTTACATTTTACAGATTTAATCTAGTTCATCATTTGACAATCATTAAGATAAGCTACAATTCGCTTTAAAAAATTTAAATGTATCATGGATTGAATACTCGGTATCTCGTTATGAGCACCGGTGCCCTCAAACAACTGCCTTTTCAAAATTAACATTATAAATATAATTTATTCAATGTGCAAATAATTTATAATGTTAGATAAAATTAAAATAACTAATAATTTTGTATTTTTATTTTATTTAATTTAAAATATAAATTATTTTGTAATTTTACACAAAAGTTGCTTGATAAGATTTAACCCTGGACTATATTGCCGCAGTTTTTCATAGTACTAACAGTACAGTGACCGCCGGCCGGTATGCCATTGCACTTGTTATTCATGATGGTATTATGACAGCCACCTATGCCTGCTTTGGCAATACGATGAATCTGTTTGTAACAAATAAAACACATTATTTAAATAACATCATGCTTAATAATTTTATTAATTGTGCATACCTCAAACCCATTTAATTTAGGACTGGTGCCAGTGTTGTCCTGGATATCATAGCTATCTCCTTTCACATTAATCCAACTCTCGGAATAATTCTCGCCAGTCTCACCATGGCCATCTAGATAATTGCCCTTGATCACACCACAACACGAGCCCTCCTTAACATCAATACACTCTGCGGCCACATCGGGTCCGATATGATTGTTAAGCACTTGATTGCGGTCACTTTTATCCGGTTTTCCACCTTGCCAATTATTAACCTAAATGCAAAATTATTATTAAAGATAAATTATTAAAGTAAATATGTCAGATTTTTAAATTAAATTTTTTTAAAATAGTAATTATTTAGGCAACCAAGCATGTATAAAATAATACAATCTACATACTAATTAATTAAGCTGCACTTATCCAGAATTTTTGCTAATATCAAATAGTAATATATTGACTGTACTGTATTACGTATGTACATTATGTAAATTATAATACTTTAATAAATATATAAACAATATCAAGTGTTTAAACCAATAGATTACATAAACATGATAATTTTGTTTTATCGTAACCTTAATTAAATTTTTGTTGCTATAAATATATGGATAATTAATAAAAATTACTTGTATAAAATTTAATTAATAAAAGCTATATTAAAACACTATAAAGTTTATAATATAAACTACTTTTCTGAGAATTTCATTCTTATTATCAAACATTATTTGTTACACCTTATTGTAAATAAATAAATAAAATATAAAAATAAAAACAAACACATAAATCAAAATCGCAAGCATCACCATAATTATATTTATAATTTATTAATTATAAATGTAAAAACCACAATGAGCATATGACAAAACATCTACTTACAGCCTGCCCAATATAAACACCTTCGCCAAAACCTTGATCCTTTTTCGTTCCACGGCCTGTCAGGTGAATCTTTGAATTCTTTAGCACATTATCGCTGGAACCCCACCTAAAGTGGACGCCCTCTTGCTTAATATTTTTCACCTCAACGTTATCAATGACATTATGTGAGGCGCCCT